TCGATTTTATCAGTGCATAGAAAGCATCGACCTGGTGAATGGAGCACTAGTACCAAAAGAGCGAATTGCATTTAATAAGGGGCCACTTCGCTTGGACTACAAAACAGGAAAAGAAAATCCTATATGTAAATAACCTTGAGAAACCTGATATCCTGTCGTAGATGATATTTTAGAGGTACACTACATACAGTATGTATTGTTTTGGCTCTATTTCAAAGAATGGCTTGGACAGATTATCACATGATCCAGAACCCTAGCGTTAAGTTCGCACGGTTTCCCGACTCAGCACATCTGCAAAGATCGCATAAGGCAGAAGAGTGAACGTAGTCCGACTGTTTTCCTAGCTAAGTCAAATGCTAAGCTGTAGGCAGGTCTCTCTCCTGGTTTCCTTACTATCACAGCACGATGGACAATTACAGTCTTTGCAAAAAAAAAAAAAAATGATGAAGTTAAGTTTATGTAAAAAAAATCGCGTAAGTGGCAGACGTTTCAAGCACTGCACGCACTGTAGCTGGTGGACATTGCCATGCATATCGATGTGGTGCCATGGCGCTCGCATCAGCAGTCATCGCCTCACCAAAGGAGTTTTAGCTGATCCTAAGACGCTGTGCATTTCGGTATTTATAAATCATATTTGACCGGTGTTTTTGTTTTGATCTGGGCATTCTTTTTTTTGAACTGAGGAATTCTCATTTTGATCTGTAAAAGGTGTGCATATAAACGCCAAAACCTGGTGAAGAAGGTACCGGATGATTCTATTGTCAGTAGTATTCAGTACCTCGCTCATCTCTGTGTTGCAGAGCGCTGTATAAAGTATGTAAGGCTTTACATTGTATACCTGTTGCTTACGGAGGCAGATCACTGTACTTAAATCTAGCTTTAGATGCATGCGTTTGCATTAGGATACGAAACTAAGCTGCTCTGACCAGACATTCATTTCCACAATACTGAACATAAGTACTGTTTTATCACAACAGTAATACTGTAGTTTACTAAACTACAGTGCCAGTGCAGATGCTCTAACGACCAGGCGAATTGCAATTTTGGGAACTGCCTCTTCATAGTACATCGCAATTTCCGTAGCCTAAATACAGAAATGACGTACATGCACTGTACTCGTCACACCTTGATATTAGCTCTCCCACGGACAGGGGTCGCTGCAACGTGGTTGGGATACTGTACTAGTTTTACGTATTACTGAAGTTGGCAATTTGATTGGGAAATGGTGTGATTTATTGTGCAGAGCTACAAATCTCCTTCGCGAAGCATTGTACTAATTTTGAATGCTCCAAGTACAATTCTCACTTGATCGCATCAGTTCTCGCTTTGATCTGGAATGAGATTATGCTATTGCCCATTGCAGACACTTTACTCGTTTTCATGAGACATGTTGGCGCTATCTTTGTCCCTTCGGTTATGCCTTCAATAAGAGATACGAGTGTTTAATCAAGCTACAACTGAGTGTTTTATTAGTCAGAGCTGTTAATAAGCGATAAGTACAATCAAGGTCATTTAAGGAACAAAACATGTACACGGAGTTCGTGCGTACATGTTTCATAAAATTGCATGAAAAGGTCACACAACACCGCAACTTCAAGAATATAGAGCTCGCCGTCGTTTGCCGTACCCACTACCTCCTTATACCCTTTTATATTCGATAAGGTCTGATGCATCTGTGGCGTTAATTCCTTCAGTATATCATCGCAACCTCTATAATACTGATCAAGGACCCGTGAGTCACGGCGTGACAGTTAAGCACTGTGTGGTGTATCAAAGTATTCATATACCAGCAAGATCGTGAAGATAGGCTTTGTACTATCTGAAGCTTTGCCAGGGAAAGTTCATCGACAACACAAAAAAAAAACCCACTGGCAGCAGAGCCGACAGCGACCACGTTTCACTTTCAAAGAGAATGAGGTGGTGGTATCATGTCCTGCTCGTAGCGTCAGCATCCCTCCTTGCCAGCAGTGATTCCATACTGGCCGGTAAGATGTCGATGAAAGCTTCGCCCGCAATCTTGACACCTTTCAACTCCATCGCCCGCGAGACTACCAAGAAAAGGTTCTTAAGGGCGGAACACGTGGGCAACACAGGTGACAACACCACTCAGGACACTAATCGCGGTGACGATTTCAATGAAGACGCTGAAATCGGCAATGCAAACACAAGCGAGAGCGAAGAGCGAGGAGATACAGCAGCAATTCAGAAACTTCAGTCTCTCAAGACGTTCGAGAAGTTTAAGCATTCCAAAACATTCAAGGCTTTATCAAGGTCCATGTCAAAGGCCACGAACACTTTTAGTGAAAAGATTTCGTCAGCGTTGCCAATGAAATCAAAGCTGAAAGTGTGGTCTAACAATGGGAAATCAGTCTCGTTCGTCCGGAAAGAGTTAGAGATGGACAAACTGGACGACGCTCTGTTAACGCAGGCCAAGAATTTCCAATTTTACGACGACTACGTGACATTACAGTTGCCAGTTTGGGCCAAAAACGAGCTTACCCCCAAAGAAGTTATCGCTGAGCTGGGCCTTCAAGGACTATCGGGAGCTGCGCTTACGTCCAACCCGAATTTCAAGTACTACGACGAATATTTGGTAAAGCAAGCATTGGTGTGGGCAAAAAAGGATCTCGATGTGGACGATATCTTGGTCAGTTTAGACCTGAACATCATCCCAGTAGCAGTGCGATCAAAAGCTGTGAACTTCAAGTATTACGAAGAATTCGTGGCTGGTCTAATGAGATCATGGACGGATAACGACGTGTCTGTTATTGACGTTATGAAGAAATTGAAACTGAACAAGTTGACTGGAGAAACGCTTGAGAAGCATCCGAACTACAAATACTACAAGAACTACGTGAAGAATAACTTGAAGGCCTGGGCAGCCGACCTAAAATCGTACGAATTCGTAGTGGCGAAGTTGGGCCTAAGAGGTAAGCGAGGAGAACTGCTCCAGACGCACCCGAACGTGGTTTTCTTGGAAAAACTAAAGAAAAGTGCCGACAGATATCGAGAAAAAATATGGCTGCAACAAAGCGTCACCTCTTATGAAGCATGGAAAAGGCTCGAACTTGAGCGAGTACACGCAATAACGCGTCCTAATTCTCCAACGTATGCTATGTACGAGCATTATGTCAACCTGGTTGACGATGCCATGGTTAAACTTATAGAGAGCGGAGAAAAAAACCTTCCGAAACTGATCGACACCAATGCCTCTCCAAAAGAGCTATCAGTGAAGGCGTATATTTGGGCGGAAAAGCAAAGACCAGAGTGGTACGTCAAGTTTTCGTTGGGGTTGGAGAAGTTGGATGAGACAGCACTGAAAGATGCCGCGAACTATGTGTACTACATGCGCTATCTAGACGCAAAGAATTAGTAAAAACTTCTAGATGGAGGCTGGGGAGACATGAACACGCCATTTTTGCCCAGATTGACGACGAATGTCAACCTTACACTATGGTATCTTGTGAAAACAATCATTGTTAGCAGCTAGGCTGGCCTCGGTGTAGGGGCTCACACTTTTCGAAAGTGATACGTAAAGGTCGTGGGCTTCTTCATGAAAGCACAAATGCAGGCCTCCGCTAGTTTCAACTCCATGTCGAACTGATATTGTAATAGCATCAATTTTCATTTAAACCTGATCTCCGACAATCATAACTTCTCAGAAATTCTTCGTTCAAATATGGCAGGGGTTTTTTTGTTTCTGTGCAAAATGTCGTGCACATTGAACAACGACTCCCCTACATCGAACGATTGCAAGTTGACAAATCCAAGTCAAATAAGAGAAATGCAGAAAATGCCCTGGAAATCGTCGTGCATTATGCACGAAGCCTTCAAATGCAAGTGTGAAACAATCGCTAACGAGATTGTTAACGTGTATTGTTTAGCTCTTGAGCTTCTGTGCTAGAGCTCTACACGATAAATGATCAACTTGCGTTCTCCTTCGATCGCTGAACTCGCTGGCATTGTTTGCCTGGTATGCTGCGCACGTTCGTATTTGCTGTTACTCAGTCCCTCAACTGGACGGTGCGCATGTCCAGTCAGTCGCCGATGCAGATGGTATCTGTGGAACGTATTCAGAGAAACACGGAAACGCCGATGGAGGTCGCTCTGACTAGCACTGCACCTGAGATGCCGCCGTTTGACTGGCCGACGACTGGAGCCGTTTAGTTTTAGCTTTAACCGCATTGGTCTTCGTTATCGTCCTAGTCTGATGCGTGTGCTTCGTGACCAGGAAAGAAAAGTCGGCATTGTTGCACGTACGGGTGCTGGTAAGAGTAACTTGATCTTGGGTCTCTTGCGTGACGCAAGTAGCGTCTCATCGAGCTGGGAGCGGGCTCCATCATGATTAACGGCGTGGGCATCGGCAAGATCAAACTTCATGACTTGCCTTCGAACGTCACTTCCTCCGTAGGACGACGTGCTGTTCTTGGCTAGGTGCGTTGAAATCTGGACCCCGTTCGACCAGTTCTTGGACGACCAGATCTTGGTATCTGTGAATGTTCGTCCCTGTAGAAGGCCATCGCCGCGCTGGACGATGGCGTGGACTAGAAAGGCTCAAATTTCAGTATGGCGAACATCAGCGCCTGTCCATTGCTCGTGCGCTACTGATGCGTTTGAAGTCACTGAGTCAAGACAGATCACTAGATCAGCATAGTGTCCGAGAAGAGTTCCAACACTACACGGCGCTGACAATCGCTCACCAGATCAAAGCGATCCTATACTCATACCACGTCTTTGTGACGGAGAAGAGCTCGGTGGCGGAATTCGGATCACAAATGGAGTTGCAGCGCAAACCGGGTGACATTTTTAGTATCCAGCACTTCGTATCTTAATGGCTTCAATATATATCGATTCAAGATACCCTACCAAACAGCACATAATATTCCTCGTGGAAGTTGCACGACGAGTTCCATTTATCTACACATGGTGATGTTGAGGGCAACGGTGGTCAGTTATTTGATACGAACGCCAAAATTACGTGTGTTGCTGCATTTTCTTGTTATCTTGCTTGTTGGACATGGAGTGAGTTTTAAAAGCCCAAACTAAATTCTAGTCTTTGAACCACAGACTAAAATTTATAAGTTGTGTAGCATTTTTTTTTAACTCTGCTCCAGTGAGGCATTGCAAAACGCACATGACTAGTTTTACGTCGGTGGCTATGGCACGTCAGTTATCAGCTTTTCACTGCTACTTCGTAGCTCTAGGGTACAGTATATAGGCTACAGGCCGTAGCCTACGGCACATCAGTTATCAGCTTTTCACTGCTACTTCGTAGGCTATTGTATATACGCTTAAATGCAAGAATTTCTTCAAATTTCGAATCAGATTTGGCATTTGGGCTGTATCCATACCTATGGAGATTGCTGGTAAACTTTTTCCGATACAAATTCATGCAGGAGAGCTTTGCTCAAACACATACGTAGTACAGACGATTCCCCCAGGCAGTAATCCCTAAGCTTGGAATACTTCCTCAACGGCAATAAATTAGCGGTTCCGTTGTCCAGTCACTTACAAACCCAAGATATTATTTCATCTCACCCCTCAGCTGTAAATGAAATAGATTTCATGTCAAATATTCTTATTCTGGGGTTCTTAACTATCGGAACAGTCATAACTGCACAAGAACATTATTGCTGCCACATCCTATTCGAATGTTAAACCGATGAAGCCTATCATATTGACCACTTTGGACGTAACTCGAGCTTGAAGATCGCGGAGAAGCGTTCTGCCTTCCGTCTAATTGCCTCATCCGCGACTGTGACACCATTCTCCTTGCACCATGAGACCAAGAGAAATGTCGAGTTTAGGATGGCGCACCATGTGCCACAATGGCGAGGCCAACTGCGAGACCGAGGTGACTCTAGCGCTTATTTGTGCATTATTAGCTATCAGATCATTGCCTGTGGTGGAACCAGATGAAGATCGTATATTCTGCGAGCCCATAAATCTAGCTCTGTTTGGGACAAATTAGGGAACGTGAGAATGGTGCTAGCATATATTTGTACAGCAGTCGTTGAGTGTTGGTGAGTGTGAGGTGGACTGGTTGGTCTAGAGAGGAGGGTATCTTGGCGTGGCGAGGCAAAACTGGCAATAGGAGAGCAAAACAGGGTGAAACGCCAGTAACGGGCTACACCTATCTTCTTCCTTATTTCACTGTGCATGAGATTATGTTGTTGTGTGTACAGAATCCCTTTATTACCGATTTTAATAAAGCAATCTGATTAACGAGGATTAAGAAAAACAACAACCATACCAGGGAATCGGATCACTGCTAGCTTAATAAATCTCAGAGAATTGAAACAGTATTGCTCATACACATACGCACGGCCAGAAACTACGGGGTTTTGCGCAAGTTTGGTCGTACATGTACATGTACGTACGGACAATCTCCTCGGCAGTCATAGCGCTGGTGCTCCAAATTTATTCCTGTCTAAGGGTATTCCTATCCGTAAATGTACCACAAAAATGGATCCGAAGACCTTTTGCTTGGAACAATGCACAAAATTTACTTGCTGAGCAATTTCACATGTCCAAGAAGATATATTGATGAATGCTGTTTTTGTTGGCATGTTGTGTGGTCTACGCAGATATTCGTCCACCGGGCAACATTTGCCACTCTAATCGAAATCTCCCAGCTACGAAAGGTTGATACAGTGAAAGGGTTCACGATTGCATCACAAAAACCAAATACATCAATTTCATGTAGTCGACAATTCACTGATGCGTTCGGCATCGATGTCCATTTTCGGTTTTACTAGGTCATTGCGAGTACTTTTCAGTACAAGAAATAACGCGGGAGGGGAGAGGATGGAACAAAGATCGTTGAACTCACCTTATCGTACTTATTGCGTGTTGTTTGCACTAAATGTTCGTTTCGTCAGCTACTGCAGGGCCTACTTTCGCTGCTCCGCACACGGGGATCATCCGTAAACTGTTGAAGGTGAAAGAATACAGTTTGTACATGTCGTTCCTCAGTTCCATTTCTTCATATACTACAGAACACTGGTTCGTTCTCTATTCTTGATGGCTTGTACTAACAGTGTGAGGCTGCTATTCTTCGGCGGGTATACTCGCCGAAGAAGCACCTTACAGTCACTTCTAACTTGCACCATCAAATTTTTAGATCTTTGGGGGTCTGACTTGGATGGTGGCTGGGCATGCTTTTAGCGATAATTGCATTATTGTCCAGCTTTCTGTTGGCATATAAACCAATGCAGCAGTCGGCAAAGCTAGCAGAATTCTCCTTTGAGCTTGACGTGCACCCCAATGACGACGCCGAATACTTGTTGAGCGGTGATAGCACTAGCTCAGCAAAGTTGCCCTCATAGATGTGATTAAGCGTAATCACAGCTGGTGCCCAGGGTACTGTAGTACTCGTCAGGGAAGATACACATCTAACACTTGTTGGCTCGTGCATACTTAACACTTTTATTAGGTGATTAAGGAGGTTCATGCACACCTAATACTGGCAAATAAAGTGAATATCGGGTTGTGACCACCCGCCCTGAATTTAGGTCTAAATGAACTATCCGACCTAAATCTACAAGGGCATACCTGAGTGAGACTAAAAAGAAAGCTTCCCTGTAAATATTACAAAGTCGTGCTGCGCACGAAGAAGCTCTGAAATTTCGAGCATGGCGTGTTTATTGCAGCCCAAGAGTTGCAGATGCGTTGGATTCGAAACATATTTAGGATTATTATCTTTTACAACGATATGCTATTACTTGATGGCTATCTGCATTGCTACCATAGTTGCAGTCGGCAGGAGACGTATCAACGGGAGTGTTTCGGGCGGACACCACGTTTATTCTGTCTAGTATAGATGCTCGTTGCCACGGTTAGAAGTTGGTCAGTTTGCGTAATTTCGTTGTTCTGTAGCAGAAGTGAAGGTCCATTTCGTACTAAATCGTCCCGATATGATGCAGTTGACCAATGAAGCCAACAAGGTGGTGGTGCTCAAAGGTTCCAAACGCTACAACACCATTGAGAAATAGCTACAACAATCGAGAATTAGAAGCCATACTAACCCAACTACTACTTGCTTTTAGTAGACACACTTGAATGAACTGGTAGCTTTCCGGGGTATCTAACGTGATCCCAGTAGGTGGAAACGACGTTAGCATACTACCTCCTGTTTGCGTTGTTCCTCTCCTTCATTTCCTGCCGACTGTGAAGACATCAGCGTGTTATTCCCCTCTGTTATTGCACACAGTTTTATTTTTTCACCTGTACCTATGTAAACTGTACGAACAGACCCGATAAGATGTGGCGAAATTGTCACGCTTCGGGCAGTTTTGCTGAAGATGGGCGTGAAGATCGGAACTGGCAAACAACGCCGGGATTTGTTATTGGGTCATCGACACGATGAATAGCCATGTGGGCTAAGCGATAAGTAGTTTTTAACCCATGAAAAACACGCAAAATAAATAATCCGATAAATTACTTGAGGAAGCATGTTGCATGAAGATGGTACCGTCGCCGACAGGGTCAACATTCATGTGGGTGATAAAACAACGTAAGTATAAGATGTATTTATTAAAACATGTAATCAAGACTCTCAGAGTTCATTCAGTGATGTATAAAATTGTAGAACAATCTGACCATTTAATTTGCGGAGAGAGGTGTACTTTTCGAATGCGCTAAAAATAAAATACGGGTGTAGGGTGGGGAAATATGCCCGTTTTCGCCATTTTTCAATAGAAATCTCAAAAAATCGGGCAACTCTCCATAAAAATGCCCTTCCCCCATTTATACTGAAGATCCGCTCGGCCGCAAACCAATAAATTCTTGACTTTTCTAATGCTTGACACTTTTTTTAGTCCAGGGCTACACGTTTGCTTACAGCCACCTTTTCAACTTGAAAAACAGCACAATCAGCCCAGCAACCACGATCATGACTGCCCACCAGATATAATATCCATAGTAGTACGTCTGCTCCGGAATATACGGGAAGTTCATACCGTATACTCCCGTGAGAAATTGTGCAGGCAGAAAAATCGCCGCAATGAGCGCCAAGATGTAGCTCACGTCATTCTGCTGCGAAGCGCGAGCATTGTTGAATTCTTCCACGAGGCTATTACAACGGTCCAGATTGTGTACGCACTCCTCCTCGATAGTAGTGAGGTGTTCCTGGACATCAGCGAAGTACTGTAGCGTCTCGCCTTGATAGTCATCGGACGTTATCAGCTTGGAAATAACTTCACGCATCGGTTTACAGTGCATCTGGAGGCCCTTAATCTGCTTCGAACACTTGGCAATTTGACTCAAATCGAAGTACCGTGAGTCCAGTGACATCAGACGTTCCAGCATTATCAGCTTGGCTCCAAAAGTCTGAGAAATTGGTGACAGTCGGTTCACACACACGTCCATGATCGTGTACATGAGGAACGCCGTGCTGTGTTGACGAACTTTGGAGTACGACACATGCAGTCTCTGCTTTAAAGCGGACCAGAGCATGTTCTCGCCCTGCACACTGATAAGTACGCCCTCCATAACGTACAAGCTCAGTTGACGAGGTAGAGACATGACACGCCCAACATCGAGCTCCTTGAGTCGCATCTCAAGCTCCGACAGGCTCATCTTGTCGAACGGTGAGTCATCTTCCGGTAATACGAACTGCGAAGCTCGGTACATGCTCTGGTAATTCTTGACGATCGACATGTTGCGTGGACTCAGCGTCTGCAGAATCAGGAACGAATGCTCGTCGAACTTAACGTACTTCGGTCGTTTGACGTCTGGTCCCAGTGTATCTTCGATCGCAAGGGGATGGAGTCGATAGCGAACGGATAGACGACGCATGAGTAGAGTGTTGATGCCTTCGACGTTGATCCAGCGCACATTGGCCCAGCTTGGATTCGTCGAGTAGATGAAACTTTTGACCTGATTGATCGGGTACACGCTACGTATACGGTCCGGGGAATACTCGATTGAGCCTAGTGTTACTGGAGATTTTAGACTCGAAAACAATGCTGGCATTGTGCGAATGAAGGGGTCATTGAAGAGCTGAGCCAGTTTGATTTCTTGAATGGCAGAGAGGAATTCTTCGTACGAGATGACGCCATTCTTGTCTTCATCCACGACGTCCACGAAGGCTTGAAATTGTCGATCACTGTCACAGGCAATGCCCATAGCCTCCAGTCCACAGCGGAAACCTTCGTATGATAGCATTCCCTTTCCTAATTTTGTGAACCAAAGTGTCAGAGAAATTCTTGTAATGTTTCGACAAAACCGGGTACTTACCATCAGGATTGGATAATGAGAACAGCTTGGAGATTTTTCCGTTGGTAAGATCAAAGTGCGGGTCTCGGATGGAATAGTCGTCCTCAGTGTCGATAGCGCCGAGAGTATCGGACCATTTCACTGGATTCCCATCTTGTGACGTGGTTCCAAACGGGAAAATGTGGAGAATATCCTTCCCATACAGTGTGAGTGGGCGTACTGTCGTGTTCGCCACCGCAGTATTCGCTGGGGGTGACGGTGGTAAGTCGCTAGACTTTGTTGACGCCGTGGTATCCACAGTAGCACTCCGAAAACTGTTGCCACCTACCAAAGGTGGCGACGGAGGCGGTGGAACCTCGTCACTGCTGCTGCTACTGCTGCTTCGACTGCTGCTCGTCCGTGTATTGATGGCGATGCGTCGGGCACTGCCATCGACGATAGATCCGTCGTCCGAGTTCCAGTCTGGAGGCTGGTAGTTTGTTGGAATATCGGACGGAGGACTCCACGAATTTCGGCTCTCGACTGCCGGACGAGACCGCTGCGAAGACGGTGGAGTCGTTCCGTACGCCACAATGGAGATCGTCTCTTCATCGACCGAGTTGTTATGAGGCAGCAACGCACTGTCCATCTTGAAACCTGATCTGGTGTTGTGCTTGGCGAGGAAGTTAATGAATGAGCTCGTGGTGAGTGATATCCATCGCTTTTCATTGGATACTCCGCCAGTATCCGGCGTGCAGAACGCGCTTCAATCTGGTCCTTCGTATGCACGTTCCTTCTTGTCACAAGTCCCGCGTTGCAGATACTTTTGAGTCAGCACCATTCGTCAATGTACACTTCCAGCATCTTAGAAGTGTTTGTAGTGAGATATCAGGACAGGAACGAAGTCTGACCAGGCGTATCGCAAAACGTAGGTTAACTTTTTACCACCAGCGAAATGACATCTCGACAG